CCCATACACTACCCACACACCCCCACACACACACCCACATACCCAGACACCCGTACACACCCACACAACCACGCACACCCACACAACCATGCACTCCCACTACACCCAGACACCTACAGACACCCACAGCACCACACACTACCCACACACCCAGACATCCACACCCACGTACCCACACAACCCATATACCCACACACAATACCCACACACACACACACTACCCACATACTCACACACACACACCCACACTACCCACATACCCACACACACACTACCCACACCCACACCTACACACACTCACACACACTACCCACATACCCACAAACACACACACTACCCACATACCCACAAACACACACACTACCCACATACCCACAAACACACACACCCACCCACCCACACACACCCACATACACCCACCCACCCTCACACACCCACCCACCCACACACACTCACACACACACCCACTCACCCACACACACACACCCACATACCCACCCACGCACACACACCCACATACCCACACACACATCCACTGACACACACCCACACACCCACCCACATACACACCCACCCACACACCCCCATGCACACCCACCCACATACACACACCCACATACCCACACACACACCCACTGACACACACAGACCCATACCCACACCCACATCCTCCTCCTCATCTCACCCTGTCAGGCTTATCCTTGAACCCCTTTCCCTCCCCAGTAGGTGTCTTACTTTACCCTTAGTTCCACATTCTTGCTGCTCTCTCACCATTGGATTAATTTGTGGCCACCATACATCCATGTTTAATGTTTGAACCAAAAGACATTTCGGATTCCCTGACAAGTGGAAATATTTTCTCCACATCTACCATGCCAAAGTCCTTCATCAGATTAAAGATCTGAACCAGTGATGTGTGCACCCTCTCCAAGGAGATACAGCCTGTCCAGTCTTCCCAGGTGGTTATAGAAAGAGGGTTCTTGCACCTTGTTGTGCTGTTCTTTACCTGACCATCAAGGTGAGCGAATTGCACACTGTCACATCTCAGTGGTTGGAGAAGTCCTCCTCCTGAGCATCTAGCTGCTTCACATAGGGCTACGGTTCCTCTTGTTCATTAACCAAACCCAGCAGGTAGCAGAGAAACTCTCTCTATTTATTCCCTTTCTCAGTGAAATTCCCTCTAATAGCTTCCCAGTGTCTCTCCTTACCTCTGTCCTTCTCACCTGCTACATTCAGAGGGTTGGGCACTGCCAGTGGGCTAATGCAGACACAGAGGGGTACGTCTGCCCACTGATTGCCCAGGCATGCCCAATCTCTCTAACAGGAGGCATTAAACAAAGGTGCTAATGCTGCCAGCCCTCAGCCCCTTCATCCAGGGGGCTGCTCAGAGTATTTGCCGGCTTCCGGCCCACTGACCTAACCAGGAAATCACACGTGGGACAATCCGATCCCTGTCAGACATGTCTGTGGTTGGCCACAGGAAAAATTTCACTCAAAGTTCTCATGAATGTGTAAATAGCTCAAGATGCTGAAATTAACAGCGTTTTATGCTGAAAGAACAAGATTGAGCCTAGAGAGAGAGATCGAGCCCAGAGAGAGAGAGATTGAGCCCGAGAGACAGAGAGAGGGTGAGATCGAGCCCAGAGAGAGACAGAGAGAGAGAGATGGAGCCCAGAGAGATGGAGCCCAGAGAGAGACAGAGAGAGA